GAATTTGTTTTATTATCTATTTCATATTTTGTAAAACTTTAAGGAATTTTTTGATTAACAAACTCAAAGATTTCAAAGCAAGCAATCGCAATATTGTATGGAAAATAACATTTTTATCTCCAGCTCGCGAGACTATCTATCAAAAGTCTAAAGATATGCTGTTTTTAAATATTTTGTGATATTGCTGTTGAACTGAATTTTATGTAGCTTAAGTGCGAAGAACATGATATTTAATATATGAAGGTAACACATGAAAAGGATATAAAGAAAAACCCCTTTGGGTATAATATAAAGTGTGAAAGCTTTCAGATTTGATTCAAAATGAAATTAAAACCAAAGAGCTTTGGTCAAAGTCTTTGCTCTCCGGTGACTTATGGGTTGATGGTCACTTGTGGACAACTCCCAGATCAATCGACAGCGCTGATATGAAACACGGTAAATTAGGTATTAAATCTCATTGGAATAAAATTAAACCGAAGTCTCTGATCATTGCCATTGCTGCTGATCATCGGTGACCTAGTTCGTAATGGTAAATAGCAATCAACTTGTAGGGCCTCCGGTGTGGGATGGTGTACAAATTTAGATATATTTTAAGTAATTTTTGGCAATCCTTCCCGGCGAGCTAACATTTGTGTAGCCTCAAGGGGGTTTCTTTCAAAATTTTATTTTCTAGAGAAGCCTTCTATAGACCCTCTGAAGTGATAGATCTATAGATCTACAGAGTTTTTTAGTGCTCTCAAATTGGCGGTCAGAGGGCCACATGTTGTCCCTGAAGTAATTTTACATGGTCAGCGACCACTTTCGCAGACCAGTTAATTAGTATTATTAAGATAAGAATTCCAAGAAAATGTTTCAGATTTTAAACATTTGAAGCCAAATTTTCCATTTTTTTCTTTGCTAAAAATGAACGTAAGTAATGTTACAGAAAATTTATAAATGGAGCTAATTAATTTACACTGTGATATATTCAATGATTCGAAGGTACTTATTCAATAAGTCGAAGATATAAATTTGATTAACATTTGTTCGTGCTGTGCAAAAGACACCTAATCCTTAGTTACACAATTTTTGTAAAAAGAATAATCACTTTGTTTGTGTGTACATGTGCTTATGAACAGTTTTTCCGTAGCTGAAAATTCACGAGTCTAAGAAAAGAATCAACTCGTGAGAAAGGTACTTTCTAACAATTTTTCTATGAGATTTCTAAATTTATCAAAACCTAAACGCCGTGAGGGGTTGTAGCTGAAATTTGTAGCAAGAAATAAAGAAGTTTATGTTTATTTACATATAAATACAGCTTTTTTTTCGTCTACGACACAGAAAAATGTAATAAATAAAAGAGAATAGATCATTATTATTCTTAAGTTTTATCTTGAGAAATTTTCGCAACTTGTTTATTTTTGTTTAAGTTGAAAGCAAATCATTTATTATTACTTCAATACATTACAATTATGTACGATTAAACTGCTGTCTGAAAATTTAATATTTCACGATTTGAACTACAAAGTGGACAGAAATTTCTTGCAGATACTACCTTTCAGTTTCAGGCAGAAGGCAAATATGTATTTGAATTAGTTTTTACATCATTATCTATATGTATAAAGAAGAACGTCTGTGTGTTTGTTTGTTCGCTAATAACTCAGTCACTACCGCAGCCATTGTCACCAAACTTTCTACATATTCTTTTCTAGGTCCTGGAGAAGGTCGACGCCCACCCCCCCCAAAAATAGTTAAAATCAGAGATATTAATTAAAAACTTTGAAAAACGATAATTTTCGCCGTTATTTTTCCTAGTGGCAACAGTCTCGCAAGCTGGAGATGAAAATCTGCTTTATCCAAGGAGGTTAGAATGGAAATTTTCTCTACGCTTTCTAAGTTTTACGATAAAATAAAAGTAGCATTGCCAAACATTAAATACATTATTCCCGATTCCAAAAATTCGTGGGAAGCCATTTCGACTATTTCCATTTTCGTACGACTTTAATTAGCAGAAATATTAATTAAAAACTCTGAAAGCGCTAATCTTCGCATTCATTTTTCCGAATGGCAACAGTCTCGGGCATTGGAGATCAAAATGCCTTATTTTGTAAAGTGTTCCTATTGCTCGCGTTCAAATCGTGGCGTTTGTTAATCAAAAATTTGTAAGTTTTACAAAGTCTATACATATAAAGAAGAATATCTGTTTGTGTGTTCGTTTGTTTGTATGCGTTATTGATTTCTGATCTATTATGAAAAATTTTTTTGCACATTTAATCGACTAAAATTGAATATAGAAGAACTATTAGATGAAACTTGAGCTTTTACGACCATTTGATTAGAAAACGAAAGACGAAAAACCGTTAAAAACTGCGCGTCATTGTTGCTAATATAATGAGAGAGAATTTTTCTCCAATAATTTATACTAGCTCTATTGTGTTTACCTTCTGCTCTCTTTTTCATTCCTCAAAAATAAAGATTTTTTGGTCAGATTCTATTTTCATTTAGTTTCCCATTTCATTATATTGTTTACTCACACTATATTGTCACCTTGCGTTTCCTTTGAATATTTACCCAATTTGGTTTCGCATCGCGATGTTTTCTTCAATAAATCCATCTTATACTTTCTTTTCACTATTTGACTGATGACAGGAACGCAAGTTACATTAAACAAAGTTACTACGTTATTTAATGATCTAATAGCCCTCTGTAAGAAACTAAACAATTTCCAAACTTTATGTCGTATTACTGTATCATGCACCAGGATATCATTTTTACACTTTATGTTGTATCACTGTATCATCCACCAGGAATCTTTGTGTTGTAGAATATTGGTCTTTGGATCAGTCGTGAAAATAGTTATAAAAATAGTAAATTTTATTTGAGTTCTTCCATCGCAACACCACCCTACTAGAAAATCCTAAAGGTTCTGATCTCATTCTACATACGTTGGCTCAGGAATGTTAAACTTCTTGTAAGATCCGTAAATTTAACTCAAGAAGTAAAAAATTATCTTAGTACTAGAAATCAAAATTCTGCTGAACTGACGAACTTTCGCTGGCTGTTGAATTTAAGTTCTCTTACAGACATAACTGAAAAAAGAAATCATTGAAACTTGGAGCTGCAGAAAAAAGGCAAACATATAGCTTTAATGATAGGATCTGTTGGGTCTTTAAGGCTAAAGTGGTTCAAAGCATATTACATTTACAGATGAAGTTATAAGGTATTTCTCCCGCCTTCTTGGCATGCCTTCGTGGTGTAGTGGTTAGCACGCTTGACGCGTATTCGAGATTTCCGTGGTTGGACTCCCGGCGAGAGCATTGCTCATTTTTCATCTCTCCTGCTTCAAAATAACCCAATGTTTCTACAAAGTCACTTGCGCATTTCCCAAATACAAAGAAAATGACAGGAGAAGCTGAAATTCAACTTTCCCCTCAATCGTTATAAACCTTCAATTACTTCAAGATCAGTTCGAAAAACAGTGTCAACTGTTTAATATTGTTGAGTTTTTCTTCTGACACCAGTTGTTATGTTATTTTCTTCCTTCACGTTCATACGGGGTTCGTGAGAATTTGGAGTGAATAACGACGACAGCACTTGATGAAATATCGAAACACACTTTATTTAGCCAGTACTAATCAGGACAGCTCCAAAATCACGTTACATTCGTCGAAGAACTACTATAAACACGCTGACACAATCAGCGACACAGCCTTCAGGTTATCAGGCTATAACGGTGGAGACAGCTTCACTGCAAAGCACCATAGTACAGCTTCCGATTTTGCTTGGTCGTTCTCAGAACTCCACGTACTTTCGAGACTCTCCACGCTACAACTCGTGATGCATTCACACACAGAGCACAGCTCCCGACTCTTCGGTTCAGTCGTTCCTGGAGCTTAACACACTCTCTGGACAATGCACTAACCGCGATATACTAAGAGACTATTCGATGCACTCTACGACCCACTCGGCACTCGCTGGCCGGCTGTCAACTCGATCGAATCCGCACGGACTGACTAACTCGAGACACACTAGCTCGCCCTCTCGACGAGCCACACTCTGACCGCGGACCAGCAGGGTTTATATAGCTTTCGGCTTGTGTTCGAGAACATTCTGGGCTAAACCGGTACCAGAAGGTTCTCCAACCGTCCATGGTATATCGTCAATTTTGTCGCTAAATTTCGCCAAACGGGCGATTTTTCGCCAAGTGTGGCTATCTTGCCTTATCTTGCCATTTTATGACAACCCTAAAACTGCTTTGCGGGGGAAGCTATCTCACCCATGGAGGTAAGAAAGGAAGGAGTGGCCAACCCGCACTAGAAGTGAAGCACTGCTTCGAAGCTTCTCGGTCACCAGATGGGGTGTTCTTTGTTTACATTCAGAAGCTCACTTGACAGTATTCTGATAGTATTTCGACACCCGACAATTCCATACAAATCGAAAAAGGGACACTTTCACATGAAAGAAACATTCATAGTGTGATAGATAATAGCAATTGTATAGTTTTAGGTGACATTACGCAAAATCACATCTTGGTTATTTTTTGATAACTAACAACAGCGATTTTGATTATGAATTTGTTTTATAAAATTCTAAGCTGTTGAACTACAAAAAGAAGATTTTAACAAAAATGTTATGCTTAAAGAATGAAAATACCTTACGGTACCTTTAAAATTGTATTCGTATTTCGATACCCTTGATAGAGTATTCGCTACTTTTATTTTATGTCCCAAATGCCAAAAATGTTTTAAATAAAATAATTTTTTTACATCGATATATTTATTGTAACATGTACCTTTTAAAATTTTTTAGAGGAGAGGCTTTACTGTTGCTCATTTTAAACTCATCGTTTTAATTTTATATATCTGAAAAATAATCACTTTGGGCTTACACGTTTTACTTATTTACTTACATACGTCATCACCCCTCGCTTCCTGTTTCAGGGGAAAAAGCTCTATGAACTAGCCCTTCTCTTCCAAGACCTGAATTACTATAACTTTTTTCTTTCACTACTTTTGATTTAAAATGGCACCAGTTACGAATATTGATCATGGCTGATGTAAACATTCGGCGAATGCACAGCTTTTGATTAAAAAATGGTTTTTATTTATTAATGTGATTAAGAAAATGTGCGTATTTGCATTTTTATAACTTGATCCTTAAAGCCTGGTGAAGCATTTTTTTTTATCTGTAAAGGATTCTTTCAGAAATATGGAAGAGAATAATGCAAGTTTACTATTGACTCCCGCTGCTAAAAAGAACTATCATTTTACTCGTGAATTTCCTTTCCCGATATTTAGAGACGAGAATGCGGCTGGTCCTTCTGATCAGGAGTGGAAATACGTTATTGGTCATCTGCAAGAAGACTGTGTTGTTGTGTACGACGATGAAGACATTAAGTTGTTATTCACAAAGGTAGTTTCATTATATTTATCCCACGTATCCATAAATTTTTCTGTCAAGATTATGTATCTGAATTCCGTGTAAGAAATAATTATGGAAAGTGCAATAAATTGCATCTTTATTTTATCATTATTGTTGTTTTATCATTTCCTTGTTCAATTTCAATTTATTACAATCTCTACATATAAACTACGCTTCTGAAATATTAATGGCATATGGTATGTTTCAGGGTTTCTTTGGCGTGGGATCACTATCTAAAAAAGTACCCCGTGTTTGCTATTCTACAAGGAAAAGCCCTGATTTTAGGAATCAAAGGTACGTTCTTTTTTAATAGTATTTAAAAATCTGTACGAACCTTTACATTATTAATGAATTCTGTATATTATTAATGAAAAATTAAAAAAAAAAAGCAATGCATGTAAAAATTTTATATATTCATTTTGTACAGAATGTTATTCACATGAGTAATATACACACAACTCTCTTTTTAAATGATAGGCAGGCTTCTCCTTTCCCTCAAACACCATAACACTTACTGTGTGCAAAAAAAAATACAATGTGTGTGTAAATTTACACATATCATCTGGATCATCCAGAAGTAACAGTGAAAGTAAAAATTGAATAATTTGAAATGTATAGACAGTAGTTTCATTTGGTTTTTACAGAAATGTACAGAAAAACATATGGTTGATCTTTGGATTATGGTAACTTAGCGATTGTTTGGCGACTAACTCTGCTACAGCAACCCTCTGTTTTTTTTTTTTTTTTTTTTTTTTGCCGCCATTTTGTCTTCACGAAGTAAAGACTTTTCTTTTCTTTTTATTTACTCAACACTTTTTCCAACAATACTAGCCGAATTACCTTATGCTAGAAATTTTATGGAACAAAACTGCTATCATGAAAATATTACTGCAAAATTGGGAAAAAGTGCGAATCGCAAATCTTGCCCGTTTTTCAAAATCACACATACACAGTAACCGTCACATCGACTTATTTACTTAAAAAAAATCCAAGAATGCAAAAAATGGCACTGCACCCATCTTGACTTTATCCATCTAAACTGCTATTTTCTCATTGATCGCGAAAAATTATATACCCTATCCAGGATGAACATTTCATGTATAATAAAATAAATATCCAAAAAACTTTTTACATCTGTTAATCTATATAAATCACCACAATTCAACAAAAATTAAAAATGTTACAAATACTTATGTCAAATATTTAAATTTTTCCATGCAGTTTACTTCCATGAAACGTATACCAAAATTGCTACAAACATATAATTCACAATAATATCATTTAATTAAAATAATTAACCATGACGCGTCGACTTATTTTTACTTAAAAAAACATCCCAGATTGCACAAAAATGGATTGCGCACACCCTTGACTATATCCATGTACATGCTTTTTCTCATAAAATTAGAAAAATTTCACGAAAATGCATGAAAATTTGTGAATCTTTAAATTCGGTAAAAGGACGGCTAATCTTTGGAATATGGTAACAGGTAGTTTGGCGACATTTGGTAAAGCGATAAAGTTACTAGCTAGGACTTTAGCAGTGTACATGGAATAAAGTCAAGAGTGTGCGCAATGACATTTTGTGCAATTCTGGGATGTTTTTTTAAGTGAAAATAGGTCGACTTGTACATGGATATCCGTGTATGTGCAATTCTTAAAAACGCGGCAAGCAGTTTGCGATTCTGCACTTTTCCCAATTTCGCACCTAATCTCGTCATGATTAAGCACTTTTGTTCCATAGAAGTTCGAGCTAAGCGTAATTTGGCTAGCAGATTGTTGGAAAAAAATGTTGAGAAAAAAAAAAGAAAACATGCCTTTACTTCGTGAAAACAAATGGCGTCCAACAAAACTAGCAAGTTGGTAGGAGGGTGTTGCCAAATTTTCGCCAAAAAATAGCTGAGTTACCATAATCCAAGGATCAACCAAAAGGACATATATGAAATTACCGGATCATGAAAAAGTATATACCCTTTCCAGGATGAACATTTGCATGTATAAAATAAATAAAATATACAAACTTTTCCCTCTAAATTATTTATAAACCTCACCTACCAATTTCTAACGCAAACATTAAAATGGTTCCAATACTAGTGTCAAATCTTAAATTCTTTCCCATGCACATTTACTTCTACTAAACATATTCCAAATACTACAAACAGAAACTCTCAAAAAATGATCATTAAATTAAAATATATAAATTAAAAAAAAACATACTAAAGGACTCCTGACATTAAGAACAATGCTAAAATAATTCCTCAATAATTAAAAATACTAACTTACCTAATCTTCTCAGATCTGAGTGCATGGCGGCACAAATGTCCATTTCACCAGTTTTTGCACGCCATTCAAACTTCTGTAATCCTGGTTGGTGGTGTACATGGAGATAAGAACAGTGGAAACAATTACAGAAGGATATCGTGAAAGATGTGCTTTATTTTTTAAATGTATCGTGCTATCCTTAATTAATAATGAAAATTTGCATTTTAAATTGATAGTGTTTTCTTTTGATTTGTTGATAATGTTTATTGATTTAAGCTAAATATCAATAGGTTAAAAATTTCTTAAAGGGAAAAAAAAAAAAAAAAAAAAAAAAAAAAAAAAAAAAAAAAAAAGAACTTGCTACTTGCTCGTAGAATAAGTAACTTTCACCAAATAAGTAACTTTTACCGGTACTTCTTGGCGAAAATTGGCTGTAAATGGATATCGAGTTTGTGCAATTCTTTGTTTTTTATTTTGGCTTGTGTGCCAAAAATCGCCACTACACAAAGCCAAAATAACAAGACAAAGAATTGTACAAACTCAGTATCATGTACACATTGGCCTATTTTCACTTAAAAAAACATCAGAGAATTGCACAAACTTGGCATCGTGCACACCCTTGATTTTATCCATGTACACATCGACCTATTTTTACTTGAAAAACATTAGATAATTCCACAAACTAGGCATTGCGCATTTCCTTGACTTTGTCCATGTACACATTGAAACTATATGTACTTAAAAAGTCAAAGGAGCAGCCAACAAAAAATATATAATCTCAATAGACTATTTTAAATCAAACAATGAAATAACATAAAAAAGGAAATTCATCTGCACCACACAAAGGAAATATCTGCTTAGCTTATTTACGAATTAACATGTCTTCAGTCAAACAAAATTCCTTAACAGCATCCAAAAACTCTCTAAAATTATCTGAACTTGAATCTGTATACTGGCGTCACCACATAAATTCACGAAATAAGACTGAAAAATATCCTCCCTAGCGACGTATGCATTTCTGACATTCGAACATACACATTTCCTTCCTCCAAACATTACACTGAATAAAGGCTATTAAGCAAATCTTCATTTACACAGCAGTCAAGTAATGCTGTTTTCCCCTTTCTTTCCAAATCATACAGAAACTTCAATTAATTTCCACATTCAGCATTCTGTGTCTAAACCACAAAACAAGCATCCTTCCTAGCCAACACACACACCACACACAAGCCCTTACGAATTTACCACAATCAGAAATCGATTAGGGTCATATGGGTTCTATAACATTCAACTAATTATCGCAAAGTTGTGTTTCATTTGATAAATGAAACAATTTGCGATAATCAAGGTACCCTTCTCTCTACTGTAATCCTTTTACCTTTTCATCTGTAAAAAATCTCCAAATTGTGCCAAGATAGTTACAATAATTTATAAATATGCATTTTTGTCACATTTGAAGCAAAATCTTTTGGGAAAAATGTAAACTTTCGGGCAATAAAATCTTTCATTAAAAAAAAAAAAAAAAAAAAAAAAAAAAATGCACATATCTTTTCCATTTTTTGGAGAACTTGTGCTATTGTTTATACTTTTTGAATTATTGAATTACTATTTTTCTGTTTCTTTTGGATTGTGCTGTATAATATATATATATATATATATATATGATTTAAAGTTTACAAATTCAAAAAGTAAGATTATTAGTTTTTTTCCATTAAGCACCTGCCACATTTTTGGTCTGTGTGAAAAAGGAAAAGAGAAGCAAACATATACTGTGTCTCAATAATAGTACTATCTGGGGACTATGCATATATATGTGTGTGTGTGTGTGTGTATAAGCAAGAAAAAGTGTATAAACATATATACATTATTACAACAGTACTGTAAGAATGCATGACAGGTACATAACAGTAAAGTACTGATTATTAATTAGTACGAAGAAAAGAAAAAATATTATTCTGCCCAGAATTCAGAATTTATTTTTGAAAAAGATGGACTTGTGTCTGATTGCCTTGAAAATCGATAGTTTTATTCAAAATTTATGCGTAATGGCACCATTTTGTCTAATTTAAAAAATAATATGGTATCATGAAGACGGCTTTATAAGTGATTCAAAACTTTGTGCTTTGAAAATGTTAGCTGTACTTAAAGTGTAACAATGAAAGTTTAGGTATTTCATGATTTCTGAGGAAAGCTGTAATTAGAGTGACTTTATTTTTATTTCAGTACTAACTGATAAAATCAAATTATATAGGAAACAGCAGCAGCAATCATCAACATCTTCATTTGTGAATGAAACATCTAAGAACCAAACTGAAGATGAAGAGATTGAGGTTGTAAATTGTGAAGATGATGAGGATGAAAAATCTGCTGATAGAAAGGAAGGTGATGAAATTGAAGTTGTACTTTCTGATTCTGATGATTCTATGTCTGAGGATGAAGTTGCTGAAATTGGTGAGAATGATAGTGATTCAAAGTCTGAAGAAAAAGAACATCTGATATTGACTTTTGAAGAAGTAAGAATTTTTTTTTTTTCTTTCTCATTCATTCTTACAGGCTTGAAATAAAATAATTTGCAGTGAAATATATTGTCATTAATCTGAAGCTGTTACTTAATTGCTTGTTTTAAAATCATAAAGGTGATTATATGAACACAGACTTTCTCTCTTTATATATATGTGCGTGTATATAATGAATAAATACAATATAGAAGGAAAAATCCTAAATTTCTAACCTAAAACTGACTTGTGCTCTCTCTTGGGACTCATGGAAATTTGAGCAGTTACATTCTTCTTATTCCAGCCTACAGGAATGGACTGATAAAGACACAAATTGAATTATTGTTTATTGAAGTTTAAATTTAATTTGTAAATTTATATCATTATCAGCTCAGAAGCAGTCTGTTCTGTTTACTTCTCTTGTTACACCAACACCCTGGCAATAATGTGCTATGAGAAGCAAATTCTTTACATTTCAGTTTTATTACTTACAATACTTTTTTTTTTTTTGTTTGCACTGTTTTTACAATTATTTGCACTATTTATTAATCTGTTTGCTGTTGATCTCAGTACTGTTTTAATTAATTTTTTTTGCAGTGCCTTATGCAAACGTTTTACAATTTTTTTATAATTGTTTGATCCAGGTTGAGAATGTAATGGATTTAAATGTTTTTTATTTTTCAATATGTGTGTGTGAATATATATACATAATGAAATGTGAATTGTTTTTTTGCTGTATGATATAATATTTTATTATATATTATATGATATTTTTTGTTGCATTTTTTTCTGATACCAGTTTTACGTTATTTTCTTCCTTCACTTGAACGGGGTTATGCGGAGTTGGAGTGAATACATGACAGTACTTGATGGAATCAAACACACTTTATTTACCAATATTAATCAGGACAGCCCCAAAATACTTTTACAGTCATCGAAGATCTACTATAAACACGCTCGAATAATCAGCGACACAGCCTTCACACTGTCATGCAATAACAGTGAAGACAGCTTCACTACAAAGCACCGGAGTACAACTCCTGACTCTGCTCGGTCGTTCTCAGAACTCCACGTATTCTCAATACTCTCGACGTTACAACTCGCAATACAACTACAACACACAGAGCACAGCTCTCGACTCTTCGGTTCATTCGTTCCCGGAGCTTAACACACTCTCTTGATGATGTACTAACCGCAATACACTAAGAGACTCTTTGATGCACTGGACGACCCACTTGGCACTTGCTGCCCGGCTGCCAACTTGATCGACTCCGCACGGACTGACTAACTCGAGATACTAACTATCTCGCACTAACTCTCCGTCTACCAGCAGGGTTTATATAGTTTTCGGCTTGTGTTTGAGGAACTTTGGCTAACCAGTAGAATTCGTACAGAGGTGTCCATCCATCAGCCAAAATGTCACCAAATGTCGCCAAATGTGGCAACCCTGCCTTCCCTTGCCATTTTATGGCAAATCTAAAATTGCTTTACAGAGAAGCTATCTCACCACGCTTGGACATTTTGTAACAATAATATTATAAATTAGCTTAGAGTAGATTGAAGAGTGCCCCTTGTGTTATCGCAAAGTTGTTGTTTCATTTTCTCCAAGTTTTTGTTTTATTTATGGTAACCTGAGTAGTTGAATGTTATGGAAACCTATTACAACATAATTTATTGCGTGTTGCTGTAAATTTTTGAATGACTGGGAAAAGATTTGTAAGGGCTCTTGGTGTCAGTTGGTTAGGAAGTACATTGTTTTTTTATGGTTTAGACGGCAGAATGGGTGAATTTTGTAAGATTAATTTGAGTTTCTGTATGATTTGGAGCGAAAGGGGAAACGTGCATTAATTGACTGATGTGTAAATGAAGATCTACTTAGCAGCCATTATAAGTGTCCAGTTTGTAGGAAGGAAATGTCTATGGTTGAATCTCAAAGGATATCTCGGCCCTATGGAGGATATTTTTGACAGTTATTTTTGTGAATTTATGCAGCGACACCGATGTACAGATTTTAGTTCAGATAATTTTAGTATGATTTTGGATGCTGTTAAGGAATTTTGTGTGCCACAGTTTGAAGCACTCAGAAATTTTTATGTGGGTATTTGCTTTGTGTAGTGCTTAGATGCATAAGAATTTCCTTTTTTTATGTTATTTTATTATTTGATTTAAAATGTAGTTTATTGAGATTATGTATTTTTTGTTTGGCTCTACTCTAGAACTGGGTGCTCCTTTGATTTTTTAAGTGAAAATAGATCAATGTGTACATGGACAAAGTCAACGGAGTGCGCAATGCCAAGTTTGTGTAATTCTCTGATGTTTTTTTAAGTGGAAATAGGTTGGTGTGTACATGGATAAAGGGAATGTGTAATGCCAAGTTTGTGCAATTCTTTGATTTTTTAAGTGAAAATAGATCAGTGAGTACATGGATGGTGAGTTTGTGCAAGTCTTTGACTTATTTTGTCTGCACAAACTTGGTATCCAAGTACCGCCAAAAATTGCCAGTTTTTGCAAAGAGGCATCGGTAAATATATTTTTGCCATAAATTATTAACTATAAAGTAGTTAAATGCAGTTAACCCTTGTGCACTTTATCTGAAGAACATAGATAATTTGTTAAGTATAAATCTTACACTAATAACATTTTTATAGCTAAGATATTGAAGGTTATTATTTTTTTCTTTATGTGTAAAACCTCCATATTGAGTTTTTTATTTATAGAGGTAGGCATAATTCATTAGCAAATATCAACAAATTCAGATTTCCTTTTTGGAGAAATTGCTCACTTAACATAAATTTATTTTTAAAGTATATTTTAATGAAGCATTTATCATAAATGTGTTCAAAATATGGAATATAGAATGGAAATTCTAAATACAAATCTAAATACAATAAATTAATATGAGTGTCTTTTGTACATGTTATTTTATTGTGAATACTGTAATATGTGCAATAATTCATTGTAAGCAAGTTTTATATAAAAACTGAAAAGAGATTTGAACATTGTCCTGAATATTTGTTCATCAAAAGCATTATCAGTAGATTATAACTTTTTTTGTTTTTGTTTTTGTTAATAGGCATACTTTTTATCTTATGGATTGGGGTGTTTGGTTGTAAAAGATAGAGGTCAGGTGAGTACATTTCATCTTATGTATGTTATTACGTTATTCGTTCTATTCGGAAAGAATCCAATAGGCTTGAAATTTGTACCACATGTAGACCTCGACAGAACATGCAAATGACTTAAATTGCAGTGCATTTTCAAATCATTTGCATCAGTTATACCATCTAAAAATATTGTGAAAAGGGAGAACAATAGGCTGTTTTGAGTATTAGAATTGTGTGTTGGTCTTTTATTTCTTTGTGTGAGAAATTTCAATATGCTTCATTGAAAAAAAATGGGACTCACTGATTTGTATGAGTTTGATGGAAAACATACAAATGACTTACACTGGCAGTTCTTTTGCAAATCCATTTGCATCAGTAATAGCTCTTAGAATATTGTAAAAAGAGAGAACAACTGATGCTTATAGAGACTGCAAATTATCTTTCCAAGCTACAATGATATGAATGCGGAATTTTTGCGTTATTGAGAGTAGGATTGGTGGATGGGAACAATTGCACTACTTTTGTCACATCTTTCGAAAGATAGGTATATTGTGCTCATAGCAATGGTAAATCACACAAAGACATCAAGAGCAACAACCCTAATTAAAAAACTAGGGTCTCTTGTATAGCGATTTGTGTCAGCATATATATTAGAAGTTATCTACAGAGAAAGGAAGTGTTTTCAGGGTGCCCATTGCTGCAATTGCACTGGCTTGCAAGCGAAGTTAAAAGTTAGCAGGCAATGCAAATTAGCAATTTTTAAAAGCTAGTTGAATTTAAAAAGTTGAAAACTGCTGCAGATGCAGATTGAAGTATGTGCAAATGTCATGTATTACAGCCATTCAGGACTGAATGTCCGGACATATGCTAATTAGTCGATTATTGAGTATACTTTAAGAGGTTCATTTCAATGCTGGTATGAAGTGTTTGTAAGTTTTGTGCAATAATTTTTTATTTGTGCTTTTATACCTGAAAAAAGACAAATGACAGATTGTGAGCGCTAGCGGGCTAGTTTTCGTAAAAAGGTTTTCCCTGTCATTGCATCTAATTTAAAGGGAAAATGTAACTATTATGAATAAAAAAATGTTACCCTGCCCAATATTTGGCAACATCCTTACGTACTTTACATATAATTTCATTAGCAAAATTTATATTGTAAATCTTAAGCACATATCCTCTATCTAGTCTCTTATAAGTCTCTTTCAATATCAAAGTATGTCACAAAAGTTATTGTCAACCATGGCCCCTACACAAAATACAAACTTTTCATATTCTCTAAGTTAAACAAGACTGCAATTTTAATCAGTTCACTTTTGTACCTTTATTTTATATATCATATAAATAGGACAGCGTTTTTCTTTTGTTATTGCATTTTGGATGGTCAAGAGTTTATTTTAAATATTTTTGTGTATGAAGCATGTTTGCAGTGTGGTAACACTTGAGTTAAATTAAAAAGAGTAACATGCTTTGTATCCTGAATTCTGATTTTGTATGAGATATAGGATTTTGGAAAAGAATTAAAAAGCAAAAAACGGGGGGGAGAAAAAGAATGGTGGATGAAGAAATAGCTAATTATAAAATGTGCTGTGTACTAATGTTGCTGTGATTGAATCATTTAAATCCTTTATTAAAATCTTTATATTTTAATTAAATAGTTACTAAATTGACATGAATAAATGTTAAGTATTTCATTTTAAATATAAGGAAATTAGATTGAATCCATGAATGTTTCTCCATAACAGTCGAATTTTCTGTTGAAGTACATTTCTATGATATTTCACAATTTTGAGTAAATAAACTATTTTATTGGACTTCACATTCATTTTTATTGTAATTGTGTTTTTCAATAGTGATTAAACTATTTTTTCTACATTTTCCATTTATCGCCAGCTTAAATTTCTGCATTGAGTGCATTGAGGTAAAGTAAATTAAAGTTTTTATAAATAAAACAAAAACAAATTGTATTGATTTTATAGAATAATATGTCAAAAAGGTTTCATATAGTCATTACATTGGTTTAATTTTTATTTTGAGATTTTAATGCCCAAAATATGTAGCCAGTAATTATAAAACTGAGAAATATTGTTTAACTAATTTTAATGTTAGATAACAAGGGAAGTGCAGTTATTAGAATGCTTTAAAGTACGTTTCACATTTTATAGTCCATGGATTTATTGAGGTTATGGAATAAATTCTGTGAATTATCTGTGGGGCAGAATTTCCCGATCATGTATACCGCATATCACCACTTTAGGAGTAAAGGCTGGGTTGTAAGAAGTGGACTAAAATATGGCACTGATTATGGTAAGATATCTTAGATTTTTTAAAATTTTATTTTCTTAAAAAGAAATTGATATTCTGTATATCCTTCTAAAACTGCAATAATAAATCTTTTAAGTTATGCATATTTGCTATTTTATTAAAAAATGCAAATTTTTGTTTTATTATACATGCTATAAGCATTTGTAATAATTGCAGGATGCTGTGACATTTATAAAAAGATTTTATGATTAAATATTTTTTTGAAATTGTTTCTTGTAGATCCGTAGTTCAAATTTAAGAAACAGATCAAATTGATAAATAAATATATAATAAGACTTAAAGACTATGATAATTTTTGTCATATGCATACTCTAGTTAAAAAAGGTAAAACTTAACTTTTTTATATTTACTTTGTGGAAAAAATTCATCAATAAGAAAAGTGTTTTAAGTAGTTTCATAAGTGAAAAAGGGAGCTTCATATAAAATTACTCGAGATGTAATTTATTAAATTTATTGGTTCTCATGTGTGTGCATGGATAACATATTTGTCATGTTTTTATGAGAGAAAAAGTATTTAAATTTGTTTTATGAATACAAGTTAAAAAATAAGTATTTAAATCTACATACATAGGTATACATAGGTATACATAGGTTTTATATTGTTATATTTTGAAACCACTCATGTTTACCATCTCTAAAAACTACACAAACTCTCTAAAACTCTAAAGCAATACTTCTAAAAACACTGAATATTCTGTAAGATGAGCATTTCTGTAGAAGATCAAAATTATATAGAACCAAACTGCCTTTGTGAACATTGTTTTATGTAGATTTATTATAATTTCAAGGTTTACATACGATCTGAATAAAGAGTTTGTTGATAACAAATGCTTTATTTATCCGTAAACTTTTAAAGTCCCGGAGCAAATTCTGTGTTTTTACTAAGTATGCATTATAAAAAGTGAATGGTAAATGATGACAGAAATAGTATTAACTTTTGAGACTCTTTGATAGAATCAAAAAGTGTTTAGATGTCATAATATTCATAGCAGTTTTG